TGTACTCCGAGCCAAAACAGAAAACTAGTTAGAAATCATGCATGATCCTAACTATGCTAAAATGCTTAATGCAACACATGGAAAATGCAACTAAATAGGCTTGACTATCTAAGATGGCATATGAATGCAACACTTGATACACATGCTTTGAAACACGTATTCAAGTAAGTGTATTGAAATACGATGCAGTTTGAATGATGCGCTGAGCTCGGTGCATGCAAGACAAATGAATGATGTAAACATGCAAGCATAATGTATGCTAATTGAAATATGCCCCTAATCTAACCATCGAATGCGGTTAAGTAAAAGGGAGAAAGAAGTGGGGTTGGAAGACATGCATCACACACATGCACCCTTATTACAACAAAGCGCTCTCTCGAATGAGGGTCCAAATAAGCAAGCTAGGCTAATCTAAGCTAAGCTAAGTATACAAGCCAACTAATTAATTATGCTAAGCTAATTAATTACAAACCGAATTGAAACTAGCTATGCTAAGCTAAATAGAATATTACAAAGATGAATTAAATTAGCTAAACACATTAACTAATTAATTACAAAAATCGAAAAATTAACTAAGTAAGTAAAGCAGTTAAAATGGCCTCGAGGAAGGGAGACATGCATGCTCGGTTTGCTTCGCCCAAAAATGCATTGCTTTGCCATGAGTTGTCTCTGTTTGCACTCGTAGTAACCTCAGAGCATCAAACACACTTTCAGGTTGCATCTATCCCAAAACAGGAGCATTTTGGAAAATTTTGCCACAGGTGGTCGGCCGGCCACCTTAACTAGTCGGTAGGCTACCTTAACTGGCCGGCCGGCTAGTACAAGTGGTCGGCAGGCTAGTACAAGTGGTCGGTCGGCCACTTCCCTTTCCAGAATCCCAATTTTGCTGCAACAGAGATCAACAAAGGCACAGCAATGCATTTGCATGAAAATGTGTGTGCAACTACTCTCCTTATCATTTCTAAAGCTCAAAAGAGCGTAGTAGTCGACTCTCAAGCCACCAATCACGCATCTCAATGCATGATGGCCAAAGAGTCAAGCTTGCACAATGTTAGTGAATGCACGAACAAGACTTAAAGAGCCTCCACCCTATCATGCATGATCAAGGGTGTTGGCGACCGAGAAACACAACACGTTTCATCACTTCGAGTATAAAACGTGCCACATTCCTCATGTTTGGATTGACATCCGATCCAAACACAATGCAATGCAAACAACATGCTCATCTTTCAACGCTAAAGTGGCATGCACAAGACTCTATCATGTAAACAATGCATGTAAGACATGTTAAGGGACCAAGAGCACTAAAGCAAGTGAAGAACATTAGACATGAGGCATGCACTATCAATCTCAAATGGTCAAACCAGCTATGGACAGACCTGAGATACTCCAAAACGGTGGCCAAAACACACTAAAACTTAGGCACAAAAAGTAATAAATGCATGCTCATTCATTTGCTCGCAAGCAAGACACAAAGCTTAACTTTCAAACACATTGAAAGAGCGATATATATGAGAGCATGATAGAGGTACAAGCACCGAAATCATTTGCCAAATGATGACATATCATGTAATCAACACAAGTATAGAATGTTAGACGACTTAAGCATTAAAACTAGTGAAGTACACAACCCTAGGACTATGTAATACAATGCTCAATCGACTAAATCAACCCTAAACAGACCTTATGCATGCCAAGATAGTGGCCAAAATGCTCTGAAATGATAGCAGGAAAGGTAAGAAAATGATGTTCATGCATTGGCTCATCAATAAGGCATGGGACACAACTCTTAAACACAATTAAAGAGGGATATACATGAGAGTATGACAAGGCTATATGCTCTAAAATTATGTGTTAGATGATGACATATCATGCAAACAACATAAGTAAGGTATGCTAGAAGGCCCAAAGCACAAGACTAGTAAAGAGCACTACACAAGGAGCATGCAATGCATAGCGTAAACAACCAAACCAGCTTTGGACAGAGCTCAATTATGCTAAAACAAAGGTTAATACATACTGAAATGGTAGCCCAAAAGCTTAGACAAGCATGCATACGTATTAGCTCATGATCAAGGCATAAAGCATAACCCACAAAAGCTATGAAGAAGTGAAACATATGAGAGTATGACCATGATATATGCTCAAAAATCACATACCAAATGATGCCAAATCATGTAAACAACCCAAGCAAAGCATGCTAGAGGACTCAAAACACAAAGCTATTAAAGCCTATCGTGCTATAGCCATACAAAGCAAGCCTCACATGACCTAAACCATTCAAAACAGAGCTAAAGCATGCTAAAACATAAGTAAAAGCATGCTGGAGTATAGCCAAAATAAGCTAGAATGATAGGCTAAAGTAGCAAGCATGCAAAGCTAGTGAGCAAGGTTACACTACAAGTGTAAGAAGCATGCAAAGGGTGACTCAACCAACCAAAATTAGAGTTAAAGCATGTCAAAAAAACACCAAAAGCATGCTGAGATTAAGCCAACACATGTTAGAATGACAAGCTAACTTATTAGGCATGCAAGGCTAGTGAGCAAGATTGCACTACAAGTGCAAAGAGCAAGCAACCAATGATCAAACAAGCCAAAAACAGAGTTATGGTAGGTCTAAAAAGTCATAAAAACATGCTTGAATAAAGCCACAAAGAAGTAGAAACACATACTCATTTAGTGGGCCATCAACATAAGCAAACAAGACAAGAGGAGATGGGACCACCCCCTCCTATTTTGGACCTCAAAATCACTTTTCCACCACTGAAATTCCTCTGGAATTTAGTGGTTAAAAGGCCAAGAAAAGGTGATCTCAAAGGCTTTAAAAGATAGCACAAAGCAAAACAAAATAAGTCACAAAGGGGGTAGACCACCTCTAACTCCAACAAGACCTTAAACAACCATCTTTAACACTTAAAAATAGAAGTTTTTATAGTTGAAAGTTAAGCCAAAAGAAGCATGCGAAGGTGGCCAAACACTTTATCAAAATAAAGCTCAAAGAGGGAAGACACTCACTCTTGAAGCACAACAACAAAAACAGCAACTTCTTAGGCAAAACCAACACAAAGAGCTCCAAACAAATCTCCAAGAACCTCAAGCCTAAGGTTAAAGTGTTTGGCTAAGGGTTGTAGTGAAAATATGAAGAGAAAGCACACTTTCAAGCAATATATATACATATATATATATAGAGAGAGAGAGAGATAGAGAGAGAGAGAGAGAGAGAGCTCTAGAGAGAGAGTCAATTTTTGTCTCTCAAATTTCAGAACCCTCAGCAAGGGGGAGGGACCTCCCCTTATATAAGCAATGCAAGCAAAAGCTTGCTTGACAAGCTTAAGACTTGTTTCCATCCCTTCATACGTGTATGGAGGATGGCTTCAATGCCCAACAGCTGGCTCAAAAGATCTGAAAATATCTAAAAATGAGAAAAAGTGGCTACTGGCCAGTTAAGGTGGCCGGCCGGCCACTTCCCCTAGTCGACTGGCCACTCCAAGTGGCCTACAAGGGAGAAAAGTGGCCGGCAAGGTCCTCTCCCCCCCTAGGCAAGAGGTAACAAGGTTTGGCCCAAAAACCAAGGCCAAAACAAAAAATGTTAAGAGGCTCAAAGACAAGGCACTCAACCGAGACCTTCGAGCGCTCGAAACAAGCACAAACACGCGCAATTATCGCGTGCACAAACGATGACGTCCAAGTCTTAAGATCGATAAAAAATGGGGTGTCTACAACCTTGAACCATGGTTAACTTTTTAAAAATTGACTTACGAAAATTTTGAAGGTAAGTTATTTTTGAGAAAATAATACAAAAATATTTTTCTTGAAAAATGTTTTATTTACTTTTCGCTCAGCCAAAAAATAAAAAATAAGTAAAATATACGTCAAAACAGAAGGAGCCTTAATTTTTCCAATTTACTGAAATATTTTTTGGAAGTGAATAACATCAAAGCCTCCGAAGGTGGAAATGAACTTCTTTTCCACAAAGACCATCGCTTTCTTAATAATGACACTTGTTGGAGCACCAACATTCTTTCTCAGCCCAAAAAAGAAGTCTTGAACCACCAAAAAAAAAAAAATGAATATGGTAATTAATTTATTCTCATTAAAAATCATTCATCTCATGCTTATTCATGTTAAATGATGCAACCCACTTTTTTGACTACTCATTAACCCAACCTTGGCTGCTTACAAAGTATTGGTAAAACAAAAAAGTCATACATTGAATTGAAACATGTAAAACAACATTACTTTGATCAAATTAGTTTACAGAAATAGTCAAATTTGTAAGAAATCTTATCTTCAGAGTGGGGAAATATGTATATGATTTAACTGATATGGAATATAATCTTGTGTTAGTGATGTGCAATGGTGATTTTAATGTAACATTAGTGATAGTGGTATTCTCTCTCTCATATCTCTCTCGTTCTCTTACCTTAATTCCTTTCTTTATCACACAATGAGTCTTTTTTATTCTGTGTTATGGAGAGTAAGTTTGAAATTGAATGACGAGATAATCTAGAAAAAAAAATCTGATCTTTTGGTGTTCTAAGACCAACAATTCATTGCTATAGTGTGTTATTCGTCTCTTTTAATGGATTCAATTTCTAGTGATTAATTTTGGTATCAATTAATTATGATCAGTTAAATTAGAAGAGAGACGAATGGACAAGAGAGACAACTCTGTGTGGTTCCTTCCCATTAACTCTGTGTTGATCATTCTTCTTTAATGGCGAATGATAATTTCATTTTTAATGTATTTTTAGTAAAACCAAATATGAATATAACATTGTGATGAAATGATAATTTTATTTCACTTAATTAACCAAACACTAATTTAAGGTAGTTGAAACCTATTGGATGCCTGAGAAGCAAGCCAAAGTCCATTAACATATCTGATTTGATCTTGGTGCAAGTTCCACTAAGTCGTTCCCACTTCCCTGACTCAAGTTTGAATTTTCCATACAACTGATCCAATCAATCAAAATTTCCAGAAGAGAGGGAAAAAAAAATCTAGTAACACTGTGTGGTTTTGGACACTATAAATTGCACACAGATTGAGTTTTTGTTATTGAGTTGCATAATGATGGATAGATTCATGAGAGTTATAGCATTTCTAGTTCTTGTGATTCTCACCATAGCAACCATTAATCGTAGCTCTTGCAATGGTGATGTGGTTTGCATTAATAGTGAGAAACAAGCTCTTCTAAGCTTCAAGCAAGAGCTCAAAGACCCTTCAAACAGGCTCTCCTCTTGGGATGTTGAAGATGATTGTTGCAAATGGGCAGGGGTGGTTTGTGACAAGTTAAATGGCCATGTAATTGAGCTCCACCTTCAAAATCCCAACTCTACAACTCCGGTGGTTGGCAAAGTTCATCAGAGCTCGGCCTTGGGTGGCAAAATAGATCCTTCTTTGATCAATTTGACGCGCCTGAATTACCTCGATTTAAGTCAAAATGATTTTGGAGGAATTCATATCCCACGGTTCATCGGAAGCTTGGCAAACCTACACTATCTTTCTTTATCCGGGGCAGGATTTGGAGGAACGATCCCCCACCAGCTCGGAAACCTGTCAAGTTTACGCTTTCTAAGTCTAAGTGGTGGTGGTTCATACCCTGGTGTCAAATTAAGTGTTGTTAACCTTCAATGGCTTTCTGGTCTTTCCCGTTTGGAGCGCCTCGACTTCAGTCAAGTGAACCTCAAGAAAGCATCCCATGATTGGCTACAGGTGATTAACATGCTTCCTTCCTTGGTAGAGTTAAATATGTCATCTTGTGAACTTCATCGCGTTCCTCCTCAACTTCGTCATGTGAATTTCTCATCACTTACTCTGCTAGATCTTTCTAAAAATGACTTCAACTCCTTAATACCTGGGTGGATATCGAGTCTCCGTAGTCTCGTTTCGCTTCATCTTAGTTCTTGTGGTTTTGGAGGTCTTTTCCTGATGGTTTTTGCAACTTGACCTCTCTCAAAGTCCTTGATTTGTCTCAAAATCATCTTAATTCTTCATTACCCAGTTGGTTATTTACTTTGAATGGTTTACTTTCTCTCAACTTAAACTCCAATAGCTTCCAGGGCCCAATTCCAAACGGTCCTTGGAACTTGACTTCTTTGAGATCCTTTGATGTTTCTCAAAATGAACTCAATTCTTCATTACCCAATGCGTTGTTTAGCTTAAATGGCCTACTTTCTCTTGACCTACATCAAAATGGATTTGAAGGTCCACTTCCCAGTTCCCTCTGGAACATGACCAGTCTTCGAGATCTTGATTTGTCCGAGAATAATTTCAATTCCACCATTTTATCTCATAATGAGCCAATTACATTATTTCCAACTCAATTTCATATTTCCATAGTAAATGTCATTAATAACACTAATGACCCAAATATACCCAAGCATGGTATTTTTTTCATTTTCTCAATATTGACCCAAAGGTCCAAATATTATCAACAACATCAATAAGTACAAAACCCCTCTTTCCAATATAACCCATCTCAAACCCTAACTTCCCAAATAAAACCATTTATACAAAAAGCCTAACATTTATGTTAAAACTCATAAAGATGAGTAGGAATCCCTACCTCAAGAGATGAAACTCAAAGGAAATGATGTTCCATTACATAAGTATTACATGTTAACATCATAACAAAATGCCCTACGGGCTTACAGCTTTCCAAGTTAACACTTGGTTACAACAAAAGAGTACTAACTCGTTTACACATTAAGCCCTTGGCTTGAAGTTACATATAATACATCAAAATTTAAGCGACAAAAGTATGTCCGCCTCTAGCCTCCCAGCTATGGCCTTGGAGGTGGCATGCTACCTGTACCTGAAAATGATATTCCCATATAGGGTGAGCCACAGCCCAGTAGAAATACACTAAACCAACCATGAACAATGACTAAAAGATTAGCAATTGATAGATGGCTAATACAGATACATTCACATAAATTACACATTTATGTCAAACAACTTATGAGTCTAAGTTACCTTTCATTTTCTCTTTTTCAACAGATAAGCATGCTAGCTCTATCATCATTTCCACAGATATGTATAAAAACTATATCCCACATTTAGACAAGCATATAAGCTATATCCACATTCTCAACAGATATGTATAACAACAATATCCCACATTCACAGATAAGCATATAAGCTATATCCACATTTCACAAAGATAAGCATATGAGCTCTATCTTCACTTCTCTAGACAAGCATATGATCTATATCTACGGAGTTCATCCCCTATCTTCTCCGAACACTATTCGGTTTAGAGGTACATCCCCTATCTTCCCCTAAACCACGGAGTACATCCCCATCTCCTCCTCTACACATAACGTATATAAACACATTGGTTCTATATACAATCACCCAATACATACAGTTAATGTATTCTATCAACCGTCAAGTTCCATGACACATTCCATTGATTAGTTTCAGTTTGCCTAATCATCATGCATTGTCTACAACAATCACGACTATCCTCCACCGATAGCCAAAGCAGTTATTTCTAAACAGAAAATAAATACACAATGGATATTCAATCAATGTTTTCAAAAGTGAGCGATTAATAAATCCAACATTTCATTTCTTCATTCTTCACATTATTATCCAATTAATTAAACAATGTAATTCGGTCAATTCCCATCTTAACATTTCACCCTTAATGTCCCATTTTCATCAATGATTCAACAAATCATTCCTTTTCTTTTTCATCGCAAACAACTCTAGGATTATTATGAATAAAACCCCACTTTTGTAAAATTAAACACAAAAGCCCAAACTTTTACAAATTACACCAAGCCTCAACATCTCTAAAATATCAGATATTTAAAGAAAAGACCCATGAGAAGGAGTAGGAATAAGTCCCTACCTCAACATTCGGTAGTCCCAAAGGAGAAGAGACAAAACCTAACGTTCTCAAAACCCGAGATTTTCAGATAAAATGAACCCTCGACGGATCAACACTTTTTTGTAAAAGGCCAAAGGTGAGTAAATCACTCCTACTAGAGTCAAAACTAGAGAGAAGTAGAAGTCTAGAGTGAGAAGCCTCAACAATGGTGATTTTGGAAAAGTAGAAGAGAGATGAGAAAGTGAAAAAGTGATTTGAGAAGTCACAAATTCCGGGACTTTAACCCAGGTCTCCGCTCGAGCGTAAAACACCCCGCTCGAGCGGCCACTCACAGACTTCGCGCTCGAGCGGCCAACCGCCCCGCTCAAGAGCGCAGAATTGCACCCGCCCAGGCACTTTTGCAAGAACCAGGCCTTCCGCTCGGCTTCCAACTCTACGCTCGAGCGGCACTCAGACAACCCCGCTCGAGCGGCTAGCACGCTCGAGCGTACAACGCTGCACAGGAAAAATACTGAAAGGTGTAATCTCCGCTCCGAGCGCCCCACACCCCCTCGAGCGTACAGGCCAAAACATGGGCAAACTAGTTTTGTTTCTAATACTCAACCAACCTGGGAAACAAATCCGCCAACACATCCTATAACTCAATATACAGAAGTAAGTAAAGGATGTAAACAAGATAAATAAACAACTACAAACGATCCACGGACACATGTCCGGATCACGGTATAACAAGGGTAAGCCCGGGATCGCTATAATTGGCACTTGCATGGTATTAACATATGGCATTTAAAACGTTGATGGTATTGGCATACACTGGTATATACTTTGTGAGGAATCTCTAATTGGTTTATGCTCACTCGGCTATGGGAATTGGTGCAGGTAAGATGTGGTGACCCCGCCAGCTAAGGGCGTGAAGATGTTTGAAGAAGAAGTTAGCCTTGAATTCTTAATTTTGTGATAATTGTGTAAGCCAAAGGGCTTGTGTTTGGGTCCGAGAGCCCATTATGTGTCCGGGCTATTGCCTTGGAACTTGTAACCTTGAGGGCCTCATTTATTGTTGTAAAGCTGAAAAAATACAACCATGATCCACCCACGTTAATCACATCACCCAATCAATAATGTCATAATCTCTAACCTTTACATATATACCATCAATGTTTAAACGTTCAAGAATATAGAAAATACATGAATTACCAGCATGTGAAAGCATCTAAATCTCACCAAATAAAATGTCTCCTAAGGCTTACATCTTCCAAAAGCCAATAGCTCGGTTTCACAAAGTGGTCTCTCGACCATACATATTAGCCTTGCTTACAAAAACATCACAACAAATAGAAGAGGCAAGACTACTCTTCCATCAGAACATATCCACGCCCTGCCAATGGAACCACCACTCTTCAAACCTACACCAACATCCCACCAATAGGGGTGAGTCATAACGCCCAGTAGAGAATCTACAAAATATACAGTTATGCGATTCTCAATAAAAATAAGCAAATGCCAATGCTATGCCATGCTCCTTTAAACAAATTTCATTTCACCATGCTTTTCTTAAAGATTTCATTTTCCAACAAAAAGCTTGCAATCCAACACATTTCAAAAACTTTCCATTTTAATCACAGGGGCGGTAAATACGACATGGTAAATTCCTAGGTAGGTGTCTGAAAGTAAGACTCTGGAGTACTACCAAACTGTCATTTTTCTCAGGATTAACCGAAAGGCTCGACACCTATCCGCGCGACTTTCGGTCTTTCACCAAGGACACCAGGCCAAACTTACAAATTACCTCTAACCCCACCGGACTGACCAACTGTATTTACTCCTTTTCACATTGCCATAGTTGCTTAATACAACATCACTTTCTTTTCATGAAATAAATAATCTTCAATCAAAATTTTACAATGCAAAAATAATCACTGAATGCATATGCAATGCAGTGATTTTCTCATAACTCAAAACAGTTCCCCATTTCCAAGTCGGTCACAACAATGTCAACAATCCACATTTCCAGTTTCTTCTTTCATTACTCATTTCCCAAGATAACCTGTGTCCTTCAATACACGAATCAATTTTTCATCAAATGTTACCTTGCTCAAGCCCATATGAAGGTTTCAAAATCTACCTCCACCATTCAAAATTCTCACAACCAGTATACACAACAATTAACATTTCTCAATTAAATTTTTTCATGCATCTACAACAACTTAACGAAAATAAATCCTCCATTTCTTACACAGGGAGATTACCACTCTTTATCAATGACGTAAATCCACACTCACTCACCCAAATTAGCAACAAGGAAATCAGTTTTATCCATGAATTGTCCATGTTTTCAAAAAAGCCCCAATCTTTCTATGGTTTTCACAAAAAAGCCAACATTGTCTCATCTCTTTCTATAAATATCTAATCATACACTGTCAATCTCAACTCATGTTGTCCAAAATTCAAGAAAAATCTCTAAATGACGACAAATAGAGTTTTGTTTACAAAAAATCCATCAGTCCCTTGAGTCACCAAGCCCATTTCGCAAATTTCAAAGGAGAGTTACAAAATCAACTAAAAACTTACATAAAATATATAAATCAAAGAAAACCCTCTATGATTTATAATAAGAGTTGGATACACCCACATTTAAAAACATCTCTCATTTTCACAAACACAGATTTCGAAATCCACAAGAATATAATGAAAATCTAAAACGCAACTAAAGGTAAGCAAACTTGTATATATAACTTCAAGAATGTCCACCTCAAGCTTGGAAAAGAAGTGAGCAAAAGGTTCGAAATCAAAGTTGTCGAAACCAACTTCTACTTGGATCAATAACGAAGCTCTTGACGAGATCCTTACGAATCTTTCTCAAAAAAGTAAGGCAAGAAGATTGCTTCCAAAGAGAGTAGATTTAAAAACTTTTGAAGCAAAAAGTGTTTTGGGGAGAAGAGAGAGACGAGACGCACAGTTTAGAGGGAGAAAGAGGAGAAAGAAAATAAAGAAAAGGGTCAAGTGAGGGCCTATTTAGCACTAGGTGAATTTAGAAAATAAGCCCAAAGCAACCCCTAATATCAAGTCCAAAACCCCCAAAAAGTAGGGTCAAAAATCGACTAAAATCTGG